CCCCCCCCCCCCCGCCCCCTCCAAGAAGAAAACCCTGCTGGATCCCCATCCGCGCGTGGCTGCAACGTGTCATGTCAACAGGTATTGAACAATAATCGGGCGTCGTAATTTGAAACCGATTGACGCGCCGACGGGCATGACAACAATCAACACCCTTCAAACTAATAAAAAAAGTCGACTCTTGCAATGGAAACCTCATGCAGAAACGAGCCGTCCTCTGTAAACAACATGCCCACCACCGCACAGCAGCACGCAGTACGGGGGCAACGCCGACGATCCAGAAGCACACACGAGGCATTCGCGTGGACGTTGGACATGTGCAGCCCATCGACTTCATGATCGTTCGCGGATTGCTTTAGCAATCTCCATAAGGGCGTTGCACATCAACAGGTTCGCCTGGTCGGCCTTCACGTAGTGTTCCTTCTGCACTTCTAGCTCTCGCTCGAGAATGTTGCATTGCCTAGTCAGAATTGAGCACTGCTTCTTGCTCGCGCTATCCACCGTCGTCGCCATCAGACTCCCGTGGTCCTTCATGACGTCCGCAATCGTGTCGAAGGTCTGTTTTCTCACATTCTTCCTTTTGCCGCACCCGCCCACAGCACCGCCGCTGAAACTTGAATTCCGCGTCGATCCCTGATCGTCGTCCTGCCCATCCCCGCATCCGCCACTACCGCCTGAATCGTTCCGACCTCCAGTCCGGCCTGGCAGTTGAACACCTCCCGCTGCACCCGTGTCCGCCAGATTCGTGGGGTGTATAGTGTGATCGCCCTTGGACATGGCCATCATGTCCGAATACACACGCTCGTCCATCCGAAAATTGAACCCCTGCTCCTTTCTCTCCCGCGGCGCCAGTGTGAAGAAATCAGGCTTCCCCGATTCTCCCATGAACTTGTGCACAATTTTGAACTGCATGTACAGGTTGTCCCATTTTTTCCCGCAGTCGTCGGCCTTTCTAGTCGGCACCCCCATCTGCACGAGCCTGCTCTCGATGTCGGCCCACTTCCATGTCTTCGTCTTCATCCTTCCCATGTTGTGGCCGAGGCCAGCAAGATGCAAATCTTGGTCTCTTTTAGCTCTGACAAGAGCAATCATGTGTTCCACGGTCCAAAAATCCCTGCTTTTCGCTCCGTCGCCTGCCGACGCATCTCCCTCAGTCTTCTTGCCTCTCCGCCCCGCGCGTGGCTCGCTGGACTTGCGCGTCGCCCTGGGCCCTCCCCGTTTCATCCCCAGCGGACGAATCTCCATCTCCCCGTCGTCGTCGTCGTCGTCGTTGTCATTGCCCCCGTCGCCTGCCGAACAATCTTCACCACCCACACCGTCGCAATCGCCGGGTGTGTCGTCCGACCGTAGAATTGATCTTCGCCACCCCTCTCGTTATGGCGGACGTGCTAGATTGACGCGATTGTCGCCGGTAATCATCCCAAACCTCTCGCCCCGCGACCTCCGCAGCGTAGCCGTCAGCGTCATCCCCTCCTCGGTGGACTGCGCCGCCTGCCGTTGTCGATCCACCTGTCCTCGTCCCCTCCGCGCGAACATCTGCTGTGCCCACTGCCGCCCGCCCTCGCGAAACGAGTCCACGTTTGTCGCCCGACTGACCAGAACCCCGGCCGCGGGTGTCAGGAAGGCCACACGGCCCCACCGAAGGCGCTGTGTGGTTGCTGGCAGAACGCGGGTTCACGAGAATGGTGTGCGTGACGTCTTGGCGACTCCCAGACCTCAAACCGAAGCTGAGATCTACGAGCCCTCCGTCATAACCAACCGGGGTCCGCCCCTCCAGCAGATCAGTGTACGTCGGCGTCGAGGGCTGTCTGTACAGCTGGCTCCCCATCCAATCCTGCGTCGAACCGCTGCCCAGAGGAACCGTTGATGATCGGGGCTCGTCGCTGTCGTCGTCACTCGGAGGCAATGGAATCTCGTGGGACGGCAGGTGGCTGTACAGCGTCGGGTCGTACGGGCGCCTTCCGCCTTCCGCAGAGCTGCAACGCTGACGTGACAACCCGCCAGCCCCTACGGACATCGTCCTCTTCGTCTGCACCTTCTCCATCTTCCCGGTCGCCTTCGTTGTTCGCCACCTCTGTTTCCTCCCAGGGACGCAACCGAGGATGCAGATATGAAAGACGACAATGGCAAGCAGCAGTACAACGGCAAGCAGCAACAAAGGCAGCCTGCGGCACAGGTCAGCCATGAAGGAGAGGGGATGCACTTGGCTGTCGCGATCGCGGCGACCGGAGACACACGTTGCACGAGGGAAGACGCCAACGTACGAAATTGCTGCAGCCACTGGTGGGCCGCCCGACGAACCGACAGGGACGTACCGCCAATCCCCGACAACGGTAAAAAGACGAGGCCGTTCGTGGACATTTTGGACGTTGGCGCCTCACGATGTCCGTCTTCAACACGGAGGACCAGCACTGGACCACCTCCGACCACCAATTTCCCTTTTCGACTCGCCTCCGACACCCCGATTATCGCGGATCCTCGGACTCGGAGGGACCTCGCGAGCCAAGGACGATTTGGCTGGAAAATCCTAGGAGCCCGAGGATTTGTCCTCGGAGTGTTTTCACATTTCGGTTTAGAAAATGGGCTCCCAGGACAGGTGGAACGAAGACGAAATCCTTGGAATCACGTCCCCGAGGTGTGTCGAAAGACGCCCTTAGCCAAGGTCTTATCACCAATTCGGAATCCTCTGAAATCCTTACCAATCGATTCTCAAGTTTCGTTTCGTTTTTCACACCGTCCGGCGAGGCCCTTTTTCTTTGTGCCTGCCATACTTTCGGGAAAGTCCCTGATCTTCTCTGGAAAAGAGAAATCTCCGTTGTCCCTCTCATCACCCGCTGTGCAAGTGAGGGACGACTTGGGCAAGTACAGAAAAATTCCGAGCTACGACTTGGGCTACCGTCTTCACCCAAATAAAATAAAACGCCCGGTAATTATAGCTGCATCTGGACTGAAAGTTCTGCCAAATGCAGCTATAATGACCGGGCGTTGTGTTCGGGTGAAGACGGTAGTGAGGAAACTTTTTTTTTTTTTTTGTCAAATGCATCAACGAACCAAGGCCCGCGCAGGCGAAAAAAAAAAGAAGTTGCCTGCAGCAGGCGTGGCCCGTCGAGGGAGCTTTTGGCGCTGGTGCGCCGTTGTCCTCCGACTGGCGCCTACGATCACCAATCTGAAATCCTACAGTATGCATACTCACATGAGGACTTTTCTACTAAGCTCTGGACGTGGTTCCAGTCAGATTCATCTACTATGGTCGCAATTGCAGTTAGATACATTTAGAAAAAAAAGCGCTAGTGCGAGTACTTCCTTTTCTGCTTTCGCTTTTGCCGCGATAATCGTGCGGCCGTTGCGGGGCACTAGGCCGAAAGGGAACCCCCACATGCGCGGCCGTTTACGCGGGCGCGTGGCGTGGGCGCGGCACCGGGTGCATGTGCGTGTGCGTGCGTCGTCTCAAGAGAACTCCCCGATTGCCACGTGATAAAATTTTACCACATTCTGACACAACGGTGCGGTCTTTCGATTCGCGGGGAGTTGAAGGCGCCGCATGTTGGTTACTGCGCGCCAACTGGAGTCTAGGAAAAGCCAGTCTGGTCCGCATCGGATGACGTGGAGGAGGACGTGCTGAACTTTTTTTCTTAATTTCAAAACAAATCTCGGCAATTTCCAGTTTTTCGCCTGTATTCGCGCTCACGCACTTCTTCTCCGTTCTGCGCACGCGCGCTCACGACAGCAACTCTCAGACTCTCCCCCCCCC